TTATTTGAGACTTTGGTACCCAAATCTTTTTGAGTCCTTTTTTGTTAGTACCCTTAACCTTAAACTAACTTCATTGTTTTTGTTTATTTTTACATTTGCTAGGAGGATGACCACCTTTTTTTTTTTTTACAAATGTTACAGATAATAATCTTAGGTTTAGAGTGTGATGTTCCAAATTCAAGTTCAAACCTACGATCACTTTTATTAGACAAAAGTCTTCTATGTTTTAAAAGCATATTCATCTTAAAAAATCCGTTTACAAATTTTGCAAGATCCTTTTTGAGTTGTACGTTTTCAATTTGTAATGTTGTAACCTCAGGTGGTTCATTGCTAATGACCTCTTGTTTAAAAGTCCAAATCTTTCTAGTAACATCTGACATATCTTTCTTGAGTTTTTCATTTTCTTCGTATATAAATTTACATTTTACATTAATTTTTTAATACTCAAGAGAGATATGTGAGAGTTTGCTAGGATAGTTTCATAGAACAACATGCACAAACAATGTGAGCACTAACCGCTCAAATCCTCCAAAAGCTTCGAATACCCTTACGTGCTAACCTTAGAAAAACGCGCGCCCAAAAGCTTCAATCCAATCGAATAAAAAGATCTAGAATGATGAATGGATGTCGCAACTACCGTCATCGCCGTTCACCATGACCGGAAACACCCAGGTTGTGTAGAAACGCTTCGTCAGAATAATCGCCTGAACGTAATAAACATAAAACCCTTGCACGCACAAAGAAATAAAGGTAGGGGAGGGGATATAATAAGGTTTTTATGTCGGACCACACAAGTTCCGACGTAAAATTTGAAATCTACGTCGAGTTTAGCTAGAGTCCGACCTTGATTTCAAATTTTATGTCGGACCCCGTGTTGTCTGACGTAAAAAACCTTGGTTTAATTTCAAAAATGTCATCGTATTTTTTGTACGTTGGGTTTTTATATGTCTGACAAGAATACACTAACGTAAATTTCATATTTTTGTACTAGTGAGTCTTCCTATGTGTACTCACGTTCAACCTTAGTCACAACAACATCCTTTTATGATAATCTTCTAGAGGTGGTATTGGAAGGATTTGATGAACATCTCCATCTTGTTCTTCTAATAAGGGTATTTTTCTACATAAAAGGCTACAAACCTTGTAAGAGAAGCTTTTTCTGGTAAGTACTAACCTTTACTACTTCCCATCTTATGATCTTTTCTTTTAGCACGATTAGATACTCAACTCCGTCAAAGATCAAGCTCTAATACCAAACTATGGAGAAAAGAGAGATACTAGAAGAAGGGGTTGAATAGCGTCAATAAAAAAACTTAAACTTTTGAAATAATGAAGTAGTATCATTATAGTAAGGAGTGTAGACAAAGATATAAAACTATGAACATAAAGAATTTTTTATACTGATTTGTCTCAACCACTGAGACTACGTTTAGTTCTTGATCCAACCAAATCAAATTCCACTATCTTATACAAAGATACAAATATTCTTTTTCTAAGTCACTTTTGGCTCAAACCTAAGTGTTTTTTGAGTTTCCTCTTCAAACAACTACCCAAGTATTATTTTAACAACCAAGTATTCTTTTATAGACAAACCTCTTCAAACTTAAAGCAATAACACTAAGTTATAGTTGAGCAAGATAACAATGTTGTTTTGTCTTACGTTCAAGACGTGATACAACCAGTATAATACATAGTTGGTTTACAAAAAGAATGAATATGAATAGTTCAATAAAAATGGTTATCCTTTTCTAAATCATCATGTTTCCTTGTATAGGTGCTTTAATGAAGATGACCATTACAGATCCTTGAGTATCTCTCATAGGCTTGCTTCATATGTCTTCATCTTTATTCTTTGTGAAGAGAAGTTTCTATTGGTACATTAAATGCATTTCACCAAATTATCACTTCTTATTTAATTAAGAAAGTTACTTATCACCTTTTAGGTACCAAACGAATGAACCATGCGTGTGTCAAGTCAGAACAATTCTAAACAACTTTATTTGGCGCTTTCCATGATTTAAGGGCACTTTTCGTCTTTTTCTAACACAACATTTTTTTTGTTCCTTTTAGTTGAATGAGAACTAAAGAAGCTTTTTCATTCGATTTGTTAAGGAATCATACAAACACAAGTGATTTTGTTATTAGACATCATAAATGATATGAAATGAAAATGTGTTCTTTCAAACTAAGTGCTTCATCCAACTAAATAACTTAACCATCTTAGTGCCTAATTCGTTTTAATACTTTATTTGCAGAATTTTTCTCTAGAAAAATGTTTATGTTTGTCGACATTAAAACTTGAAATCTTAGGGGATTTAAAATCATCTTTTAACCTTACAAAGATTATTTATTATTCATTAATTGATAATTAATTTAAAGAGTAAAATTCAATTTATTTAGAAATAAAATAAAATATGATTGATGGAGATAAATAAATATCTAAAATTATCTCCTATACATAAAATACGATCGTTTATGACAATGTGTTTTAAAAAAAATTTGAAGAGAGGAGTTTTAAATATTTTTAAACTTTATATGTAATTCAGTTTTAATTTATTACAATTATTTATGAATTAATTTTAATATTTTAAAATAAAATTATCAATAAATAAAAATAAACTTAGGACATAATTTAAATTATTTATCATAAATATAAAATATAATTTATATATTTAAAGATATCTACTCATTTAAATTTTAGATATAATTTATATCTTCAAATATAGTATTTATTTATATATAAAATTTATTTTAAATTTTAGTTATATATAAACATTTAATTTGTGCACTTTGTACAAGTTAAAATATTAGTATTATATAAATAGGATTAAAAAAAATAATCTGAGATAAATAAAATTATTTTTGATCGGTTAGAAAATAATAATAATAATAAAAAGTAAACGTAGTTTAACAAATAAAGATATTTTTGAGATATTTTGAACGGAAAAGATTGTAACAACTAACAAGAAAAATACATTCAATGAAAGGAAAATATATTGATAGTGTTAAAGAAAGAAATAGTTTCCCTTTTCAAATTATATATTCTAACTTAACAATAATAATAGATTATATATCTTTTCATTTAAAGAAAATCTTTTAAATTAATTCAAACAAGCATTGAACTTTAATTATTCATGAGATTTAATTATTAATATATAAGTTAAATTACACTTTCCGTATTTTACATATTTTTAATACTTATTTTTCCTTTATTTTTTAAAATATTTATTTTGGTCTTGTATTTTCAAAACTTGGATCATTTTAGTCTTTTAAAGATAATAATAATTTTTTTATTTTGTGACATAATTTTGAATTTTTTTTACTCATCTAAGATTTGAGTGATCTCACTAGATTAACCTATATGAAAATTATAAACTTAATTTATGTTCAAACTCAAAATAACTAAAAACATTATAAAAATTACATGAAAATAAATCTTATGAGCTATTAGAAATTATATGATATTCAATTATTTTATTTTATTTTTCAGTTAGTTATTGGATTCATTTTCATATAACTTTCACATGTTTATGTTGGATTCAATTATCAAATTTAAATAATATCATCTAAATGTATTTAATGGAATAAATTAAAAAATTAATCAAAATTATATCCAAAAATGAAGCTATATTATTTGATAATGACTAAATCGATCAAAATTTAAAAACATTTTAAGAGATAAAAGATTAAAATAAATATTAAGAAAAATGAGATAAAATAAAATATATTTAAATGTGTTTTTGGTTTTTTTTTTTTATAGATAAGACAGTTGTATAATTTTATCTTCTCATATTTTAATTGAATAATTTTAATCTCTTAAGTATATATAATTTTGGTCCTTCAATTTTAGTCCCTAAAATATTATAATTATATAATTTTAATCTTTAATATATTTAAACAAATTTTTAATATTTAAATTATATAATAATAATAAATATATCATTTAATACATATGTTACTTAAATAGAAAAAAAATTGTATAATTACAATACTTTAAAATATAATCACAATACTTAAAAGATTAAAATTATTTAATTAAAAATTTAATGTCAAACTAAAATCATATAATTATAATTTTTTGAAACTAAAGATATTGAATTAAAACTAAGATTAAAATCGTATTATTGTAAAGAAAATTAGAAACACGCAATTATGCCAAGAAAAAAAAAAGGTTTAATTTTTTCCTTTTTTCATTCCTAATGAAATATCCCCTTTTATCCAATAGTGCGTCCTTATTCATGATATTGATAAAACTTGACCAAAAATAAAGGGTAGAAGATACGCGAGTCCACGGAAGAGCATTATAGGAAAAGTTCGTGACGTGATTTGACGCTAACACTTCCGTCACACAGCACTCTTGTTTGGGTGACATTATTTGGCGCAGCGGTTTCTACTATCTTGTATTTTGCACTACACCTTCACTCTCCACAAAGGTGCAAACCCTTTTCCCGTGTCTCAATTGCACTTGCATGTGAACATTATTTTATCTGATTTTGCCACTGTTCTTCTGTCAGAATTGCAATTTCACTTGATAATTTATACTGATTTTTTATACGAAATTCTATTATACGTATTAGGGGCCAAAGGCACGTAAGTAACTCCATTATTTTATGGTTTTTTTAATTTTTTCTTTGCACGTAATTCTTTTCATCGTGAGCATGGTCCACAAAATTCAATCATCTTGACGTTTCCATTGGTTGTTTTTTGCTTGGAACAGTTTCTTCTTTGTCTTTTTCCATCATATTCCATGAGTTTTAGTTAGTATTAAGTGATACCATCAATTCTATCTTCACTCTTGGCAAAAGGGTGGCATAGAAAATTGTACCTTGTGCCAAAAGCTCTCAATTTTACAAACTTCTATGCTGTTAGATCTCTCTCTTTTGGTATGTGTTTATCCCTTATCCCTTTTTTAGATTGAGAAAGTGGAATCTGGATTCTCCATATACATGATGGTTATCTATGGTTTCTGTTTGGTGGTGTTATCACGCGGTTGGCGTGTTTCTTGGGTGATTGTGATATCATTACGCGCATTCTGCATAATGTTAAAAAAGAATGAATTTGGGATACCCTCAAACTATTATGACACTATAATTGTTGAAGTGTGAAATGAAGGGGTCCACTCTTATCGCTACAAGACTCTATCAGTGTTACTTTTTTTTTTGTTTTTTTTTTTGTAAATTCTAAATAGCCTGATTGGCCAATTCAATTTAGAATTCAGAATCCTGTCTCTTAGTTTGTAGGATGATTATCTATTCATTAATCTTAAGAAGCCAGCAAATTGATTTTTTGTAGGTGACTGAGCCTTTGAAGATATAACAAAGAGAAAAACCAGCAAACAGGAAATTGTGTTGATACTATGGCAGAAGATGATATTTATACAGAAGATGGGACCGTTACCGTCTCAGGAAAACCTGCCATCAAGAAAAAGACTGGAAATTGGAAAGCCTGCTATTTTATTCTTGGTATTGATTTCATTTTGTTAATTATCATAGAAACTATGTTGTGTAAACTTAACATAATATGTTTGAAATTTAGTACATATGCTAGAACTAGAATTTGAAGTTCCTAAGATGCTGTGTTTTAATTATACCATTTGTGGCAGGAAATGAGTGTTGCGAGAGATTGGCATACTATGGTATGAGTACAAACCTGGTGAACTATCTTCAGGTTCGTTTCAACCAGGGAAACATAACCGCTGCAAATAATGTCACAACATGGTCAGGCACATGCTACATCACACCATTGCTTGGAGCCTTTCTGGCTGATTCATACTTGGGAAGATACTGGACAATTGCTAGTTTCGCAACTATCTATGTCATTGTAAGTTCAGAGAATTTTTTTCTTTTTTGTTGAGTCTCGTGTTATGTTAATGGCATTTAATTTTCACTCCTCTGACCTAAGTTTATATTTTATTTTAATGTCTATCAAGTTCAAAGTCGACTTGGATCCATGATTTGATTAACATGTAATGCTTTTTGGGCTTATTCATGTTGTCTGAAGTTTCTCTGTTTAATTTATTTATTTTACTGAAAGTTAAGCCAACTGAATTTCCAATCATGTTGCTTTCTACTCAATTGAAAACAATATTTTTAGTTATGATATCGATAGTTCTATCTTTTAACACATTTCATTTATCCCATTTGAAATTTTCAAGTGATTTGAACTCCTGTTTTATTTGCTGTGCCTTTCAGAGCCCTTTTATGAGGAATAAAAGGATAAACACAGCAAGCACTAACCTCTCCTTAATGGATGTTTATTTGCTCTGCAGGGGATGGTACTTTTAACATTGTCTGCTACTGCCCCTGGAATAAAGCCAGTATGTGATGCTAATGGTTGCCATCCAACATCGGCACAAACCGCAGCTTGCTTCATAGCACTCTACTTGATTGCTCTTGGAACCGGTGGCATCAAACCATGTGTATCAGCTTTTGGTGCAGACCAATTTGATGAAGCAGATGAGAAAGAGAAACTAAGGAAGAGCTCTTTCTTCAACTGGTTTTACTTCTCAATTAATATTGGTGCACTTATTGCTTCCTCAGTATTAGTTTGGATACAAATGAACGTTGGCTGGGGATGGGGTTTTGGAGTTCCTGCTGTTGCAATGGTCATTGCAATCATATTTTTCTTCAGTGGTAGTAGACTCTACAGACTTCAAATACCTGGAGGAAGTCCCCTCACAAGGATTTGTCAAGTCATAGTGGCAGCCTTGAGGAAATTCAGTCTTCAAGTGCCAGAGGATAAATCTCTTCTTCATGAGACTGTAGATGTAGAATCTGTCATCAAAGGGAGCCGCAAGCTTGATCACACAAACCACTTCAAGTGAGTTATCAAATACATGTTTACATCTACTTCTATAAATTAACATCATCCATGAATTGAAATATTCATATGCTATTCATATTCTTTTGTTTTTTGGGACACTACTCCATACACTATTAAAATTTTTAGGGTGAGATATATATATTTATGGTCAACAACTAGTACTCTCTAGTGATAGTTTCATTACAATAATTAATGATCAAATCAGCTTTTAGGTTTAATTGCACCTTTTGCTACCTATCTTTCACATTTTTATGAATTTTATTACTCAATTTTCAAAATTGCACATTTTGTTATCAAACTTTCAAAATTCCTTTGTCACTTTATTAGTTAACTGCTAAGGTGACATATTTACCGTTGATGAGATATGTTAACTACTAACATAGATTGTTGATGTTACATACATACATATGACGGTGTAACATAATGTGTCATGTCAATAATCAACATGTCACGTTAACAATCAACGTGTTACATCAACAGTTAATATGTCATACTAACAATCAATTAATAGTGTTAAACAGTTTATTAATAAGGTGGTAAAATATGCAAAATTTTTAAAATTAAGTGTGTCAAAATTTATAATTTCAAAAGTTGAGTGTAAAAATTCACAAAAATATAAATGAGTGATAAAAATGCAATTAAGTCTAACTTCTATTAAATATGCATCTTCTATTAGACTTCACCATAAAGCATCTGTTGTTTACTCTAGCACCCTAAAGTTTAATTAATATTATCCTTGTCTTTTCTGATCAAAAGATATGTTGATTCCATGCAGGTGTTTGGATAAGGCAGCAGTAGAGACCCAATCTGACCATACTAAAGGTTCGCCAAATCCTTGGAGGCTTTGCACAGTAACACAAGTAGAGGAACTCAAATCAGTAATCTCTCTTCTACCAGTTTGGGCATCACTAATTGCCTTTTCAACTGTATACGGCCAAATGAGCACCATGTTTGTTCTACAAGGCAACACAATGAACCAGAACATTGGTCCTCGCTTCAAGATCCCATCAGCATCCCTCACCATTTTCGACACGCTAAGTGTCATCTTCTGGGCCCCTGTGTATGACCGCATCATCGTCCCATTTGCAAGGAGGTACACTGGCCACAAACAAGGATTCACAGAACTCCAAAGAATGGGAATTGGCCTTGTCATCTCCACTGTTGCCATGATCGTTGCTGGCGTTTTAGAGGTTGTTCGCCTTGACATGATCAGGAAAAACAACTACTATGATGTTCAGACCATCCCCATGTCAATTTTCTGGCAAATACCCCAGTATTTTATTGTTGGATGCGCAGAAGTTTTCACCAACATTGGTTCCTTAGAGTTCTTCTATGGCCAGGCACCAGATGCTATGAGAAGCATTGGTATGGCTCTCTCACTCACCACTAATGCCTTGGGAAATTACGTTAGCACACTGCTTGTCACTATTGTAGCTAAAATCACCACAAGGCATGGTAAGCTTGGTTGGATCCCAGACAATCTGAATAGAGGCCATCTTGACTACTTCTACTGGCTTTTGTCCATTCTCAGCTTTCTCAACTTCATTGTATTTCTCTGGGTTGCAAAGAGGTACAAGTACAAGAAGGTGGCTGGGAATACTCATTAAGATAATAATAGCTCGAGGTTGAACAACTCTATTTGCTGAAGATTTCTTTTAGTAGTGTTTTTATCTTGCGTTTGCACCACTTTCTTAAAGGATTAATTGTATAGATGTTATTTGGAGTGTTTTGGCATGTTAAAAAATGTTTTCTTGGTTTTATATTCCGTTGTTTGTTTTATGAATCTGGCTCACTATTCGCGAAAGTTATTTCACCTTATATTAGGCCTGTTAAGTATTTTATTAATCAATTAAATTTTTCCTATAAACTAAAATCAAATCATTTATGTAAAAAAAAAATTCAGAAGTTGTCATTGAGAGTTTCTCTAAAAACTTAGGTGCTTTAGTTGACTTCAATTTTGTTCTTGTATTGAACTTAAGGTAGTATTAGTTAGAGTACTACGGGATGATAATAGTAAAATCTTGGTGATGTCTGCCTAATCTGCTCATTATATAATTGCTTTGTTTTTTTTTACCTCTTTATCTTTTGTTTGGCTAAATTATCTCGTGTGATTGACCTTTTAGTTAGGTATTATTATTAGGAAAAATTATACTTTCTCTACTTAAGTCCTATATTATTTACACACCTTCTCTAATTTTTAAAGTGATTAATAATTTCTTAAATATATTTATCTAAATGACACATATTCTTATATAAAATAATATCATTTGTATATTATTAAAAAAATCAAATTATTAATATAAGTTTCGACGCCAAATGATACTTTTATTCAATTTTAATTCATAAATTATAACTTGGCTGTTTTGCATTTTATTTTTCACATCACGCAATACATTGGAATTATATTTTTCTCTCGCTCTTCACACAATCGCTCCCTCACTTTAATATTTCAAAATAAAATTGCATAACATAACACTGCCTTAACCATATATAAGAAAAATACGTGTATAACCACCCACACACGAGTATCTTCCTATTTTATTTTATTTTTGTTGTTTCACTTACATAGTTCATTGTTTAATGGAAACCATTCTATTGTCACAGCATTTCTCTCACATATCAACCAAAAAGGATTTTCTTTCATCTTTATTATTACATGTGTGGCCGCTTTTTGTTATAGTAAACATTTTAGCCCGTAAGTGTTACAACAATCCTAAAGCATAGATTGTAAAAGTCCGAATAATGTTTTTACAAATAAGAGAGAACATTGTAAGTACTCTAAAAATGAAGGATTGGCTGTTATATGATTAGCAGAATCTGAATCAACTGTTAGTTTTTCTCCTTTTCTTGTTAGCTAACAGTGTTATATATCCTAAAGGAAATGAAATGAGTAGATTTTAAAAAAGTTAGTAAGAGTTGTGTGTTATTTAGAGAGATATTAAGAGAAGTAAGTATAATTTCTTCTTATTATTAAAGTTAGCTTCCTCTCTATGAATTATTCCCATCTATTATCATTATATTTGATTTCATTGTCTCTTATCTCTTACAACAATTATATCTTTAACAACACATAAATCACAATATTATGATAAGAATGGATAAAAAGACTCAATATCTCATTGATTAGTTATAGTCAATCGAAACTTAGAAAGCTCCTAATTTATAGAAGATATTTTATTTATTTATTTTTATTTTATTCTCTTATAAGTGTGTGATAAGTAGAGATGAAAATAGGTCAAGGTTTAAACATAGATTTATGGTCTGACCTCTTTAAAATTTGACGCTTTTAATAAAAAGGTCAAATTTAAGCTTTTAAAAAAAATCTATTTATATAAAAAGATTAGGCTTAGTCTTATAAAAAAAAAAAATATGTTAGGCCTGATAGATCAGTCTAATTATTTACATAATATAATAATAAAATAATATATATTATTAAAATTATAAGTAAACCAATAAATTTATAATACAAAAATAAATTATCAATATTTAAAATATTTTTTATACAATTTTTTTATATTATAGGTTTATAAGTTTATAACTTGTGTATGAGTATACATCAACATACATGATTACATGAATTTTTTTTTGTAGAATAAGGAAATTAAAAAGCAGTACGAAAACAACAACTAGCCTACATTCACTAGATCTTGAAGGAAAACTTCAAGGGCTAGGGATGGAGGAGTAATGAACTCTTTAATCAAACCGTTGGCCCCTAAACCTATGAATTTTTTCATTCAATAGGAAATGATTCAATTTTTCTCTTATATTTCTTTTAAAATTTAAAATTTAATAATATTAAGTAAACTATATTTTAAAAAAATTAATTTTTAAAAATTAAGCTTATTGTCCTAATTAACATTAATAATTTAAATGAATTTTTAAATATACTAATAGGTCATACCATACTTTAAAAAAGGTTAGGTTAGATCTATAAAAAAGTCTATAATAGATAATAAGTCAAACTTATACTTTAATTTTGCAGAACAAGTCTAACCTATATATTCAAAACTTGATTTGGCTTGGCCTATTCTTATCTCTAATGGTAAGAAATTTATCATAACATGAGTATTGAAAAACACATATTTCTTAAAATTAATATCTAATTTTTCATAAATGAAAATCTCAAAAAAAAAAAAGATTTTTTTTTTCAAAGTAACTTGAGTATCCAAATGTTATTACCCTCTTTAAGATGGACAATTATGTAGGCATGTGGCCACCATAAGTCCATTGGTTGCAAATGCATCCTCAATTTAAAACATCATTCATATGAATCCATTGAGATGTTGACTACCCCGAGACTTTTGCATTGGTGGATGATTATTTGTACTTGTAGGATGCCATAATGCGTTAAAACTTATCGAGTTAGCTTATTTATCGACTAAATTTGGATGTACTAAAATTTAAAAATATCAACTTGTTTAAACTACTCTATATTTAGCTTAACTCATTAACTCACGAATTAATGGAAGAAATTCAATTCATTTTTTTAAAAAAGATTTCCTTTTACAAGTGTTTATTGAGAAATTTATCATAAGATAATTAACAAAAAATCTAAAATATAAACTGGAAACATTTTGTATAAAACTTACTGAAATTAATTTGAATTTTTCATATAGAAAAAGGTGATACAACTTCCTTTATATAGGAAAGTGAAAAATGAAAAATGTGTAATGTGCCCAATGTGGGACTAAGCTACTAAGCTATGTGAAAATGAGCTTGGGCTGAACCAATGTGGGACTAACTTTTCTTTGATACCCCCCACAAGTTGGAGGGTGGAAAATATCTAACACTCCAAGCTTGGATAAGAGATAGAGGAAAGTCTTGGGAAGTAAAGCCTTAGTAAAGAAGTCTGCCAGCTGATCTTGAGAGGAGATGGGCAAAAGTCTGAGCAAGCCTGCTTGAACCTTCTCACGAACCAAGTGACAATCAATCTCAAGGTGTTTTGTACGCTCATGGAAGACAAGATTATGTGCAATGTGTAAAGCACTCTGGTTATCACAGAAAAGTACATGGGATTTGTGAGGAGTAATCTGCAAGTCATCAAGGAGGAATTGGAGCCATTGGAGTTTACAAGTTGCTGAGGCTAAGGCTCTATATTTTGCTTTAGCAGAAGAACGAGCGACTGTCAACTGCTTCTTATATTTCCAACTGATGAGAGAGTTGCCAATGAAGAAACAATGCCCTGAAATAGACCTATGGGAATCCACACAACCACCCCAGTTAGCATCTGAGAAGCCTCGTAGTTGAAGGAAAGAATCCTGTGGAAAGAACAGCCTCAATCCAGGAGCACGTTTAAGATATCTAAGAATTATCACAAAAGCCTTGTGATGAGACAAAGTAGGGGAACTCATGAACTGGCTCGCCTGTTGAGTGGCAAAGGCAATATCTGGGCGAGTGGAAGTTAAGTACAAAAGACGCCCCACAAGCCTTCTATAAGAGGATACATCAAAAAAGGATTGACCATTGTCTTGGTGAAGTCTGATAGTAGGATCCAATGGTGTAGTTGTTGGTTTGCAGTCCAAGAGAGAAGAGTCCTGCAATAAGTCCAAGCAATACCTCCTTTGTGAAAGGGTAATACCAGTAGAAGAGTGTGCAACCTCTAAGCCCAGAAAATACTTGAGAATTCCCAAGTCCTTAATTCCAAAGGTTGTATGTAATTGAGTTTTGATAGCAGGGAATGTATCAAGAGAGTTGCCAAAAAGAATTACATCATCCACATAGATTAACAACCCAGTGAAACAAGAGACACCAAATTTAAGAAACAAGGTGTGATCAACAACTGCTTGCTAGAAACCAAGTTTAAGAAGAAAAGTAGAGAGCTTCTCAAACCATTGCCTGCTTGCTTGCTTTAAGCCATAGAGAGACTTAGTTTACAAACCAAGTTTGAAGAAGGTACTGTCAAACCTTGTGGAATGATCATGTAAATGTCTTCATGGAGGTCACCATGGAGAAAAACATTATTTACATCTAGCTGGTGAAGATGCCAACTGTGTGAGGCTGCCAAAGCTAAAATGACCCTGACTGTTGTGAGTTTTGCCACTGGTGAAAAAGTATCCAAATAATCAAGCCCTTCTACTTGATGGTAACCCTTAGCAACCAGCCTTGCTTTATATCTCTCAATGCTGCCATCACTACAAGAAAATTGCGAATTAGAGAGGAAAAAATCCTTCGCAAATCCCTCGCTAAACAAAATAGCGAGGGACTAGCGAGGGATTTGCGAAGGACTATTCCCTCGCTAAATTCAAGTCGTTAATTAGCGACAGATGCATATCCCCCGCAATTCCCTCGCTACATTCATTCGCTTTTCCCTCGCAACCAGCTTCGCTAGTCCGTCGCAAATTTGTGCCGCTAATTCGTCGCTATCGCCTCGCAAATGCAGAACCTAAATTCCCTCGCTAATTGCATTTAATATTTCCTCGCTAATCCCTCGCAAATATGTCTTTCGCTAATCCCTCGCGAAACCCTCGCAAATATTTTCTTCGCAGATCCCTCGCTAAACCCTCGCAAATATGTCCTTCGCAAATCCCTCGCTAATCCCATGCAAATCCATCAAAGCATATGGATTGAGTTCCCTCGCGAATACCACGCTAATATCTTGCGAAACTTTCCTAATTTATCTATATATATACATTATTCTCTCATGAATCCTTGTAGATATGCCACTTAATTTAATATTTTAAATAAATCTAAATCAACTTCATAATTTTTTTTCAATTCGACATGATTTAAAATAAAAGTTGCATGTAACAATATCTCTTACAAAACCAGATTGTTAAATGTCTTACAAAATCCAACTTGTGCATACTATCTTAAAGAAACCAAAACTAATTAATGTCTTACAAAAAGAAAAGTCAAATAACGAGTCATCCTAAATAGTAATTAACTTAAGCTAGTAAAATCATCATCTCGTCCTTGATCCTCCCTATGTTGGTTGGTTGATGGTGTTGTTGATGGTTGAACTGCCTAAATTATTTGTCTCATCATCTCTGGTAATTGTGTTTGCAAAAAAGAGACCAATGCATTATTTATAACTGTAGTGACCCGTTCTTCTGTCATAGGCGTAAGATTTGTAGAGGAACCTGCAACCTCTGAAGATGAAGCTTGGGTAAAGCTACTAGTTCCAAGATCCAAGCTATGTCTCATGCCATGCACCCTTTTACCTATTTTATAAGAATTAAGAAATCTAATTGTTAATATTTAATTTTTATTTATTTTTAATTTTTTTGAATTATTTCTAAAATTATTCAAATTTTATTTGTATTTTTGTTGAAAAATCCTACTTTCATACTCATATAAAACACTTTTCACTTTTTTGTTTGTTTCCTTTTATAAAATCTTTTTTTAATTATTAGTTGCATTAATTATATTTTATCTAAAATATCATTATTTAATTAACATTTTTTTAAGACAAAAGATAATAAATGTTTGAAATTAATTAGATAAAAATTCTTTTATTAAAATGAGAAGAAAAAAAAAAAATAGACACATAGATATCTCTTCTAAACATTAATTAATTAGGTAGAAAGTGATTAAGTGAAAAAAATGCTAATTTTGAAAATATTAAATTATTGATAAATTTATATATTTTTTTAATTAAATTAACTAATTTTTTTAAAATATATAATTTAGTTAACATTATCGTATAATTAGAGAAGTAGTATTAGACAAATTGGAAGGACTTATAAAATAAAAGAGAATAAAGACGGAGTTTTCAAAAGGTTAATTATTTTATCGCCAGCTATGATTCATTTGGAGGGATCAAATAGCCACTTCGATATTTCTAACGAAGTAGGTTTGGTTAATTGGTGTGGCTTTCCATGTGAACAGTAAGGTGATGAATAGATTTTCTATTATTTTTTTAAAGTAACTGAATCTTAGTATCATTATAGTGTATAATCCCAGGAATACAGGTCAGAGTTGTGAACTCATAAGATGCAGCTTCGGAATGTGTGCCCGTTAACATTGTCAAAAGTGTAGACTTCCCCACACTGGAAAATGAAAGGGCAAAATATGGAAAGGGTTAGGAGTTTAACTAATTCAAATAAAATTTAAGCAGAAATCCAAAACATGAACACACATCAAATTTACAAGCATTTATCAATTTAGATAATGGTAGAAAATAAAATATATCAATCATCAAAATTTATAAGAGTTATTTTAGCAGACCTTGGAAATCCAATCAATGCAACACGTCCATGGCCAAATTTTGTAACTTCAAATCCATCTCCACCTCCACTAGAACCCTATTACAGAATTTGATAACAAGATTAAGTATACCACACCTAATAAAAATGGATACAGAGGAATAGCAAACAGTGGTTGAGAAATAATTCAGAAACCTATGTATGTTGAAATAAAGAATACTGTAAAAAATTCACTAAGCAGATTGCCAGATTCCGAGTACAATTCTTATAACAGATCATAGATGGATAAGAATCTGTTGGGAGAAAGGGGATTACATAATAAAGATAATAAGCCCTCCTTGAGGAAAGAAAATAATGGAAAAACCTATAAACAAACTGAAGGAAACAAAAAAGAAACAGACCAATTTCTTAGTAATTGATAAGAAAAATTCCACTAAAAATTTATGTGCTAAGCTACCACATAGATAGAAGTCAATGCAGTTGTACCACTCAAATATTAAGGGGAAGGAGTTTTAGATAAAACAATTCAGCATCACACTCCATCCATAAACACCATATTCCATAACCCAACAAAAACAGAACCTAATTATAAAATTTATTCTTGTTCTTCCTATTGAGGCCTTTATAATGAATACATAGAAATTGACACAAGAATTACTGAATCCAGACGAATCCATTACTTAAATCTAAGACTGGTGTAACCAAGACTACAGACAGAAGAAAGGCACCAATGGCCTCCTGCTAGGAATTTCTATTGTTCAGTCTTCTAAGCATGTATGCTAATTGCTAACGGAGCTGTGACAGCTCGAACAACAGTGCAGCAAAAACAATAAAAAGTTTAGCATCTGAGTATCAATCTAGCAAAGGCCAAAATACTGTCAATGACCCGATGCACAAAATTGGACAAGGAATATACCCTCCTTTCCTAATTTACAAAATTAAAACAGACCTAACCCTCCAAGGAAAGGTCAAACATCTAATACTAAAACTAAAATGCATGAACTCGTTCTTGTAGTCTTGAATTGTGAACTGCATTACCTTTTGATCGCAGGCCACAACCAAACCTCATCTGAAACCACAATTTAAAACCTTTCCCTTGTACATAAAATCAGGTTTCTCACTCTTTGCAAAAGGATAATAAGAACCACATATAAAACTTGCGGATTAACTTGTACAAAATAGACCAAATTTTAAAAGGACAAGTGCCATTCAATAATCAGTTAAAGGAAAATAAACATATAACACAAAACAGTTATTTTAGCATGAGCGGCGCGAAGCTCCATATGCTAAAGCCACCAGAGTAGGGGACAAGGCTCAAGGGCAGCGCGTGGCTCGGCGCATCGTCAGAGTGCTGGAGGATCGTAGAGAGAGAAACCCGGTGGCCAGCGTTATGCTGTTATCCGACGGTCAGGAAGAGAGGTAATAAAAATAAGCGGGAAGAGAAGGGCACCCCACCTTTCACCTCTTCTGAGTTCACCTTTCACTTTTGAAAAAACAATTTTACTCTTAGGATTTAAAATTTAAAAGGGAAATTAAAAAAAATAAGGCGCTAACAACTTTTTTTTTATTTATTTTACATAAGTATAAAAAATATTAGTTAATATAATTTTTTAAACATATTATATTATTAAATATAAATATTTTAAATTTTTTATTTGATAAATTTAAATAACTTTTATCTTTATAAATGAATTTAATTTAAACTATAATTAAAA